ATTACAAGAAACAAAAGAGTGAGGGAAAAAAAGGTCTTGGACCCAGTGGTTTTATGTGTGAGTTCTACTAAATCTTTGAGGAACACATAGTTTTGTTATTATTTAAGCTATTCAAGAGTATTAAAAACTAGGAGTGGGGGTGGGGGAAGTGGAAGATAAATATTAAAGAGAATTTCATGAAGTGAGGCACAGAACCTACTTCCTATCTACAAGTCCCTGTCTACCACACCAATTTGTGTAAACTCAGGCAGTCAAATCCTACCTCACTAGAGACTTCTGCTGTGATCCAAAGTGGACACAGAAGTGTGTTCTTCTTTCAGTTTTCCAAGGGTCCCCAAAGAAATTAAATTTGTTCTGGATTATTCATGGATTAAATTGGAAGCTGAGCACTCTCTAGAACAGAATTTGTCTTCTTATTTGACCCACAGGCATGACCTAATTTCTTCACCAAAACTTTATTTACAGAAACAAGCAGCCAGTCTATGAGCCATAGTCTGCCAATTTGATTTTTTAAAACATTGTTAGAAAATATGACTTGTCTTGATTATTAAGTTTTTCCTCCCCTCCAACAAATTTTGCACACCAGGTGAGTGTCCCATGGGCCACCTAGTTCTGGTCTTGTGCCAAGTCCCCTGTTCCAGGGATTTCCTAGATTCAGTCCAGGGCAAGTAGGAGCCACACATGCTGTTCTAACACCACTTACCTTACTATGCAGTGTGTTTTCTGGGAAGCTATTTGTCCTTTGCAAACTTAAAAAATGTCTTCACATAAATCTTTCTCTGAGTGAGGGAAAAGAGGAGGTGGGGGGAAGATTTCAAAAGCAAAGAAAACAAGGAGGAGAAGGAGGAAGTGGCCAGTGCTCAATGAACCCTCAAGTGTGAAAGGCTAATCCAGAAATCACTCAGTAATCACCACCATGAAATCAGACAGGGGTGACATCTCTGGCTACGCATATGCTCACTCTCCCTACCTCCCACAAAGCCCCACTTCCTGAACCAAAGTGACCTTCTGAAATCTGGCCACTCTGCCTTGGGTCTTGGCCCTATGCCCCTCCTATGCAACAGCGTTTACACACACCATTAGCTTCTTTCCAAAGTCCCACCGACTTCTCATTCAGAGAAATACGCTTTTCCTGTTTTCAAGAGAAGGGTACTGGCCCATGTGCCCAGTAAACAGAAGCTGGAGTGCATAGGACTGTGAGAAGTTCCGAGGCATTCACGTCTTGCACGGGAGAGTTTGGAAAAAGGGTGAGGCTCCAGGGGGCTCTGACGTGAACGGGAAGGCAAAACAGTACCTGCAACTCAGCTGCACTTGATGTTCAGAACAATCCTCATGGGTCTGTCAGGCTCAAAGGAACAGAGTGTTGAAAGAGAGATTATGGTTTAAGATAGGTTGGCTGTCAACCAAATAATATGTTACTGCATACTGCCAAGTCAGACACTTTTGTTGATTGGTGAATTTTTACGAAAAAGAATGATAGACAAATAGACTAGTTTGAAAGTAAGTCATAATTTTCTCAATGGATCTCTTGCGAAGGGGATGAGAACAAGGAAGGGAAGACTTTGGCTTGGCATCCCCTGGATCCTAGCATTGTTCTCTTTTAGATCAGTGAGCTGTACTCTTCTCTGGGTGTCAATTTCCTATCAGTGTCATGATGTCTGTTTGAACTTAGGTGAATCATCGATCACTCCATCCTGCAGTTTCCCCACCTTCGAATGGCCCCTTACTCTCCTAATCAGAGCTGGATAGTGGCAGGGTGGGCAAGAGCAGAAAAGTTGGCCTGGGAGAGAAGACAGATCCAGAAGATAGGTAAAGCTCAGCCTGAGGGCCAAAGCCCTCCTGAAAAGACTCTTTAAGACAACTTCTTGGTGTTTGCTTCTTTATTGGATTCTTTTTATTTTTCTCTAGCCCTGAAAATGCAACCTGCTTTTCTCTTCTGTCATTACAACTGCTCTTCTGCTTGGGTTTCTTCTACCCCTTCAAGATGGCTGAAGAACAAGGTCCTTTCTCTCGACGTTTGTGATATTTCACTATCATTGAAACAAGCATACATCCACTTTCATTTTTTTTTTCCAAAAATGCTTTTTACTGCTAGTGATTGTGGGAAAAGAGGACACATGATAACACAAATAATAGGGAGATCACAAATAATAAGAATTTTTTGAAAGTACAAGTCATTGATTTTAGTGATCCTTGGTCATTTTTGAGGCATCAATGGGGAATAATACTTATAGAGCAGTGATTCATGTGATTTAGAACTGAAGCAGAGTCGCGGTTTAAAAAATTACAATTATTTAATAACATAGATTTAATAACAATAAACACGAACTTGCAAAAACAAGCTCGACTTCACTAGTATTTCTTAACCATTATGGAGAAGACATGTGGCTCCCAGTGATACTTTGTATTTCCATTTTTTTCCCCTTTTCTATCTACTTCCCTCATACACTGCAGATTCTCCTATACCTTTACCCTTGATGCCACATCTCACCCCAAAAAAGCCCCTCAAATATCCTGGACCCAGGAACTTGTTATTTATTTTATTTACGTTTTATGTAAAAGAATTGAGTTCTTCCATCCTGCAATTTCCCAGATTTTACTCTTTCCTATCCAATTTCTTCCCCCCAAAATACCATCACTACTAATTCCAACAGCAAAACACTGCTCCAGAATGATAGTAGTCTCCTCAAAGAGTATTGGAGGAGAAGAACCTGCCTTGAAAACTGTAAAGCAATGGTTATATTGTCCTTTATTAGTATAGAGGAGGGAAAGCATAGGCACTTATTTGCTCATAGGCCGATGTGATCATAGGCCTGATCTATCATAATCCCAAGTCTAATTTATCCCCCCAGTTTGGTCTAAAACAAAGAAGCCCAACCCTCTGGATGGGTAGTTCTCACTGAAGATGCTGTCCCTCCTTAATCTTAATGGCGACTCTTAGACTCCACCATCTAACTGTTCTTGGGACCCAACTTCTAGTACTTACCTTTCATCCAGGAATCCTGGGTCTTTCACAGCTGCCTGGAATTACTACAGAAATGACAGTAACAACATCGGAAAGGACGATTACCGCTAGCTTTCACAGGGCACTCTCTCTGTGCCAGGTGCTGTGATAAACACTTAACATGGATGGTCGCCTCTGATTTCCAAGTCCTAAAAAACTATTTTAGTTATCTATTGCTGCCTAACAAATTGCCAGAAAACTCAGCAGCTTAAGACAATGCACATTTCTTTCTGTGGGTCAGGAATCTGGGCAAGACTTGACTGGATCCTCTACTTCAGGGTCTCTCAATCAAGCTGTCGCTCAAGTCTCAACTAGGCAAGGATTTGATTCCAAGATCATGCAGTCACTGGTGGGATGCAGTTCCTTGAGGGCTGATGGACTAAGGCCCTCAGTTCTTCATTGACTGTTAACCAAAACCTGCCCCGAGTTCCTTGGCACATGCTCCCCCCACCACCGCCCCAGTATGGCAGCTTCCTTCAAAGGGCACCAGCCAGGAGGGCAACAGAGAGAGTCTGATAGCAACATGGAAGTCACTATCTTTTGTAACCTAATCATGGAAGTGACTTCCCATCACGTTTACCATATTCTACTGCTTAGAATCAAGTAACTATGTCCAGCCCACACTTAAGGGGAAGGTATTACTTAAGGACATGGACACCAGGAGGTGGGGTTCATTGGGGAGCATCTTAAGAATCTGCCAACCTCAAAGCCAACTGGAGAAGGAGGGAGAAAGGGTTATTTTAAGATGACAAGGATAATATCCAGACTAGGAGATGGAGGTAGTTCAGGGTTGGGATTGAAGCTAATAAAGATAGGGGTGAGGAGGTGCTATGGGGAAGTGCCTCTCATCATTTTTGATCCACAGTGTCTTCCTTTCTCTCCCAGCCCCAACACGTAGAGCTAAGGAGATGTTGGTATGAGGCTAAAGGGGGTACATGGAACTACCAGGGCAATGCACTGCTCTTCCCGTTGGGAAAGTAAATGGAAAATGCTGGTAATGAAGTAGTGGGGGAGAGGAGTAGCAAAGAGGAACTGAAGGTCACTCCTCTGGGCAAACGTGACCAAGAGTTCCTCTGGGAAGGAGAATTTTGGCAGCAACATGACAAACCATTAAAAAGGGAGGGATCGTGGCATAAACCAGATCTGGAATAAGGTGTCTCCAACCATAGACAGTCAAAATGAAGGAAGCAAATTCCAGACAGAAACCAGAGACAATGCTACATAGAGCAAAGGTGCGGCGGCCAGCACAGGGAACATTTTGTAGCAGCATCTACTAAAACAAGTTTCAGTTAATATGTATTTTATGAGAGGGAAAAGATTATAGGATTTTCGGAGCCCAGAAATCCCCCCAAACTCGCAGGGCTCTGCCTATGATACCATCCTTCTCTCCAGCACTCTCTTTGCCCTCCTGCCAAAGCTCATCATCTTGTCAACAGAGCAGGAATCAGGGAGCTCACATTCTGAACTTTTGTCTTGGGATTTTTCCAATATCGTGGTGTAGGGGCACTAAGGAGAGATCATTGAGGGAGTCAAGAAAACCATTTTAAGAACCTTGAAGGAATGCTTTTTTAGTACAAAGAAAGAAAGAAGGAATCAGGGAAGGGCCCCTTGCCAAACCACAGAGAAGATAGTTCTTCAAGGAATGCTAATTTCTCTAGTTTTTAGTGGGGAATTACCCTCTGTGGGGATTAAAAGACTAGGGGGTTAGTCAAAGGATGAGGGACATAGGCTCAAACAACTTGGAACAGCCAAGTGTCATACCCAGCTCCAAAGAGCCACTCCTTCCTACAATACACAATGCTATGTTTTTAGGTTAATCCTCCAAGGATATTACAGTTACTTTCAATGGTTAATGAATAGCTTCTAAGTGCCTACTTCATTTAATTGTCCAAAGGCCAGTTGGTCCCAGAGCGTATAAAGCTGCAAGCTAGCTAATGAGCTCATTCTCCTGGAGCAGAGTGGCAGGGTCAGGGGGCTGGGTTCCTAAGGAGCAGGGATGCAGAACAGAACTGGCCTAATTTTCTGTCTTCTCGCCCTCCTGACGGGCTTCCTGATGGTCTGCCTGGGGGCTGCCTTGCTTTCCTCTGTCTCCATAACAAACTGTAGGGGCAGCCTCATCGTGGCCTATGTGCTTCTATCTCTGGGGTTTGTGATCCTTCTGAGTGGAATTTTCTGGAGCAGCTACTGCCAGGCGAGTGAAAACAAAAGGGTGTTCAGCCATGCACTCAGACAACACCTTGCTCGTGAGGCCCTGCCCCTGGCCACAGTGGACAGGTATGTGTGACAGCCAAGGGGACTGAGAAGGGCTGAGATGGGTTAAGTGGTGTAAAAGTGGAATAATTTCTAATCCTACTGTGGAGCAACTGACATGTCCCATGGGCTGTATGAAGCTTTATTGTTGGGGAATTACTCTGGGGTTAGTCATTAAGAAGAATGGTGCCATCTTTGGGGAAAACAATGATGTAGGGGGAATTTATCTTAGAGAAACACTACCACCAACACTACCACCAGCACCACCACTCCCCTCACCCCATAGTGAAAACTCACCTAAGTCAATTTAAGAACTCTTGGTTTCTTTTGTTATAGCATGGGAGCTGTCATTAGTTAGAGTCAGGTGATGGTTAGTTACTCCCCATAACCTGGCTACCAGGTTATAAGAAAAGCAAGTCCCAGACCAAATTCTGCCACACACCAAATGAGCACGGAGGCATAAAATCAGATCTGTAAACTTTGTGAGGTCAGGGAACTCCTGGCTTACTGTCTTTTTAGGTGTTGTGATTTCACCTTATAAAAAAAGATTCATTCAAGGCAAGGTGACAATGTTCTAAAGCTAAGATTCAGTTAACCTTACCACCTCACACATTAGGATAGCTATTATCAAAAAACAAAACAAGATAGCAAGCGTTGGTGAGGATGTCAAGAAATTGGAACCCTGTGCATTGCTGGTGGGAATGTAAAATGGTGCAACCTCTGTGGAAAACAGAATAGAGGTTCATCTAAATATTAAATATAGAATTACCATTTTGATCCAGCAATTACAAATGCTATATCTAATTCTGAGTATACACACGAAAGAATTGAATTCAGGGACTCAAACAGATTCTTTTTCACCAATGTCCATAGCAATATTACTGATAACAGCCAAAAGGTAGAAGCAACCCAAATGTCCATCAATGGATGAATGGATAAACAAAATGTGGTGTGTACATACAACGGAACATCAGTCAGCCTTAAAAAGGAATGAAATCCTGACACATCTGCAACTTGAACAAACCTTGAAAACATTATGCTAAGTGAAATAAGCCAGTCACAAAGGGAAAATATTGCATAATTCCACTTATGTGAGTATCTAGAGTATTCGAATTCATGGACACAGCAAGTAGAACAATGGTTACCAGGATTAGGGGAGGAGAGATTGGGCAGTAATTGTGTAATGAGTAGAGAGTTTCAGTTTGGGATGATGGAAAAATTATGACAATGGTTGCACAACAATATGAGTGTACTTAATGCCACTGAACTGTATACTTAAAAACAGTAAATTTTATGTTATATATATTTTACCACAAGACAAAAAAAAGATTCACTTAACCTTAGGGTCTGTATCAGACAACCAGGAACCTCCTAATTCTTGGCTGAACACAGGACCATTTAGGGATAAAACCTCAGGAAACATTTTTAAGACACAGGCTGAAGGACTCTATAAATTCTTTTGCCCTCTTCATGCAAGGGTGGCGAGTATCTAAAATATTTTAGCTACTCCATGTATCTTGAATACAAGCAATCTTACCCATGATGGTTCATTTTTGACACCTTTTATGCTAATCAATAAGATACTAATTACAACAACCAAAACTCATTTCCAATGTTTATTATACTAACTAGCAAGGTTTCTGGGTTTGATGAGAAATTAAGATAAATGAAGTGATTGTAGATGTTCTAGAGTGATGATTTGGGGTTTTGCATAGTCGTTAGATGACTAGCTCTAGGGTGTGAATTCCTGATAAATGTAACTGATTGACTTTAGTAGGTAGCTTAAATTTACTAACACATGCATATTATATTGTCTGTGCTGAAATATTTGAAAGGAAATTAGGGACATCATAACAGCCCAATTTTACTGCCTCTTTCTGCTGCATCTGATTAATTGTTCAGCCCACTCGGAATGGCCAGTAAGTCAGACCGGGAAGTTCTATTTCTCAGGAGCCTTTGCATTCAAAATGGGTCCTCAGGGTGAGGTATCAAAGAAATGAGTCTGCAGTAGTGGAATTCAGGGCACTGGGAATGTTCATGGCAGTGGGAGGAGGGTGGGATTGGGAGAGGTGTTGGGATTTGGGGACAGGCGGCAGTCATCCCGGAGCCTCTCAAATCACTCCAGGGAACAGCTCACCTATCTGTGTAAAATGCCTTTGCACATGTGCCCTGTGACTCAGCCTTGGCTGTTCTGGGTGAAGGCTGAGATTTATGCCGTACAGTAGATAGCTCCAGCAGCTATTTGGCTTTGGGCCTGGCAACATTTGGAGTGGAGCTGTGGCTACAAATGGCAGTCCCTGTTCTGTTGTGGTTACACGCCATAAACACGCTGAAGGACTTGCTCTATAAATACACAACTCAACCAAGCTCACCCATCTCTCTTTCTCCCCTCCACCCCAGCCCCAATCCCATTCATGATGGAGGAGCCAGAAGGTTTTAGCAATTAGCAACGTTGGGCAAGATTACCAATGAGCACGTCAGCCCTGGCCTGAATGGCCTCTTTACCGTTGGCCTATTGGCACAGAAAGAACTGCAGCTGAAATCTGCACAAAGTTGTCCGTCGAAATAGTTTGAGAAGTGAGTGCGTTCATATGTTTTCTTTAAAACTAGCTGCTGAGACTTGAAGGAGTGTTAGGAAAAAGAGAAGCATCTGGTATAGTTCAAGGATCTGCACATAGTTGGTTTTCCTTCATTATTTTATTGGCTGTGAGGATCCGAGCTAGTGAGTGCAACGGAGTAGAAGACACTGTGTGGGTTTGGGAACAAGGATGTGAGTGGACTAAGTACTGGGTAGGGAGAAGGCCACAACCTCTGCTAGGAATCTCACACTGAATGGCCCCATTTCCATGAATGAATGAGCAAAGGAGAAGGAACAGCTTGGAATAACTTGCTGGAAAAAATATAACTAGAGGCACACATCGTATGGTTGATAAAGAGGTTCTTCTGGAAGATCAGCACATTTTTTAAAAAACTGATGATGCCAGGGGAGAAGTACATCTGTTTCAAAAATCAATGTTTCTTAACAGTTTAACTTCTTACAATGTGAGTTGAGAGAGGCAGCCATATGTCTCTTTGGCACTAACGCCCAAATAATGCATGTGTGTGTGATGTTTCATCCCTCAGGCCAGACTTTTACCCTCCAGCTTATGAAGAGAGCCTCCGTGCGCAGAAACAAACCTGCCCTGCAGAGGGAGAGGCCTCTGACGTTTCTCCACCTCCATATACAGAGACGGGCCTGGAATTCCAGGATGAAAACGAAGCCCACCCAGAGGCCCCGCCGTCCTACGCAGAGTCCACAGCCAACCTGGTGGCTGCAGTGACATCAGAGGACGCTGAGAGGCAAAGCTGAGAGTGCCGAAGGCAGGCGAGCTCTCCAGCACTCGTGGTGCACCCCATGGGAGTCAGCTGCTAATCACAAAGGCAGGCAAGGGACTGAGGGAGGAAGAGCCACATCAGGGGCCCGCAGAAGAGCTCATGGAGGGGCCGCTGCGTGTGACAGCCGCACAATTGCACAGACTTGCTCAGCCGTGCATGGGCAGGGTGGGGGCCCTGGAAGGGTGTGGCCACACCAAGCAGACATTTCAGGGGACTCCGGCTAATCCCAACCCAGGCAAGCACCAGGGAGGAATAGATGCTGCTTGCCAGGACAGCCACATGCCTTCGCGTACTATGTTACCTAATAAGCACAGAGACAGTTTGTTGTTTAATATGTAGGTTGCTCAGCATTTCTTTAGCTGGTTTTATAGTTGCCCCTACTGACCCCACTGCCAGAGTGACACAGTACTTCACATCATGGAAGATGTGCCCTGGGAACTCATGAATGTTATTTTGTATTATTTTATTTTGATTATGTGTATTTTTTACTATGCGAAAGCAAAGTGATTGTAATATTCAGTCTCGAAATGGTTCAAACACAAAATGTTAAATGAGCTATTTTTTAAGAGAGGTCCTCATAGGAACAGATATAAGATGTCTTAGAGATGCACATTGAAAAGACATAACACATAATTCATAATACACAGAATTCAGAGGGGAAAAGAATTTGTAGTAGCCATAGATGGTATTAATATACAAATTGGTATAAATCTTGTAAAGTTTTAAAAATATTTATATGTAATTCAAAGACTGTCCCTGTAAATCTCCAGAATTTGAAAGACGAGAGACTATGCTGATGTACTTTCATCATTAACAGGAAATTCTTCATGTCTCAAAATACAGATCTTGACTTTCAGCCTTAGGACATTTATTTTAAAACCCAATGATTCCTCCCTAGCTTTATTATATTTTGTTGTATTAATATTTTTAATACAAGAAGACAAGTCAGGTGGCAGGGTGGTGGAAAGAGATGCAGCCTGATGCTTCTGCACTTGGACAAGAATTTTCATCTCTCTGGGCCTCAGTTTCCTCCTGTCAAGTGAGGCATTTATGGTGGGGTTAATATCCAACAGTTACAGAATGCCTTTTATTAATATATGGCAGCCTCTGTGCTATGCACTTTTCATGCGTGTTATTTAGCCCTCATGCACATTCAATCTTTAAGAAGAGAGGTGCTATGATTATTCCCATTTTACGGATGCATAAAACTGAGACTTTGAGAAGATAAAAAACTGGTCCAATAAAATTGTTGCCTCCCAGGAGAGTGAAGAAGGGTCCATAGAGAGACATCAGAGGACCTATTTACTTCATACTTTTGTGCTAAGCTAGCCCTGTCTCACTTTCCTCCTTCCAGGGAGCAATGCAGATTTCTCTTTCTTTTCAGAAAATGAGCTCTAACAGAAAGTGGAGCCCCAGGGTTGCTGTAATATCTTAAAACCCTTGGAGCAGCAGAGATGGTTGCTTTAGGGTTGTTTAAAGTGTAAATAAGCCCTCTATGTTTTCTGCTAGGAGCTGGGCCCTCACTTCATGGTGTAGTTTCTCTTCAACTGATCATTACACAGATGATAAATGTGATTCCTAACGATGACAGCCCTTGATGAACAGGCACAGGAAGGGCTTTGTACAGTTTCAGGGACAGATGTGGCTCTTTCAAGGAGGAAGGGCGTGAACAAGATAGGATGGGGCCTTCTCCTTGGCCTCCTCTTCCTCATTATTGCTGAGTGTGCAGATTAAGCATATTCTGACAAACACGCAGGAAGCCACAGGTAAAAGGAAATCCTGATCCACAAAGCATGAATTTGGGAACCTGTGATTTGAACCTTTGACATCAAGGGTGTGAGCAGATATGAAGGTCACTCACAGTTGTCCAGGTAGGAAATGATCATTTAATTACTAATGCAATATATCATCCCTTTCTGGTCATCTCTTTCCATCCCTCTCCTAAGAGAGTTACCCTGAAATTTTCCCTGGTGGTCTGAGCATAGTCACTGATCTGAACAATATCATTAGGCTTTCTTCTAGAGTTTGTATTAGTAATAGATAGTTTTTCCAACTACTATTAATAGTAGTCAGGTAAAACAAATGTTAATCTTGGTTTACATAAGAAATGGTTTTAATCTCTTTACTGCAATAAATTTTGTACTTAAACTTTCTCTTTTGCCATTTTTTCGTATCAGAAAAAAATCAATAGAAAACCATAAGTCAAAGTATTCTTCGTCATGTGAAAGCAACAGAGTGTCAAGATAAGCTCATCTTTCTGCAAACCCAAACATTATTGAACACCAAATATTGATTCAGATGATGCAGATGGGTGTGTCTTTTTTGAAAAAAGATGCTAATAGGCACATAAAGATTTTTTTTATCATATGTACACTGAATCAAGCATCAAGAACATAGGTGTAACCCAAAACAAATCCTCCATTTGAGATGTTTCGCAGTGAAATTCACTGCACAAGTCAAAGTGTCCTTTTGTGGTTGATAATAATAATACATTAGTTATTCCTGGAGGAATTACTCAGGGGAAATAGATATTGCATATCCTCTTCCTTCTCTTTCTGATGAAAGTAATGGTGATGGATTGGAAACCATAATTCCATAAATGGTGGGGAGGGCACTTAGAACATGAGAAAGTGGAAAGAGGAAAATACTCACTACGGACAGTGAATAGTGAATAGTAAGTGAATACATGTGAATAGTAAGTTCATGTGTCAATGGGGATGGGAATTCTCAGGGTTGATGGCCCTCCAGTATCATCGTCTCATAACATCCTTTGAGCAGCAAATTTAAATAAGCACTACCACCATCCCAGAAGATGAGGATGACAAGGTCAATTATAGAATAAATAATGTTGCATCTTCTGATGTACTGTGTTCATTTTCAACCCCTCCATAAAAAAGCTCACCAGTGCTTTTCATGACACTCCTATCCATCCTTCAAGATTCTCCTTAAATATATTGTCTTTGGTGAGGCATTGCTCTGGCTCACCTACATCGCAGGGTACATACTAGGTGCTAACAGACATGGAAAGATGATAATGACAAGGATTTATAATCCACATCTTCACTGTCTTCCGTAAAGTTCCGTGACAACCCAGGCTGACTCACACACCAAGTGTGCTGTCAACTGCATGAGCTATTTCTGCTGATAAGAACTCCAGCAGGTTGGAGTGGAACAGGCACTCTGCTAAGCTCTGCTGCCTCAGATAATCTCCTGCTGTTTGTAACTGTTGGAGGGCCAAAGACTGATTTACGGGTGGTTACGTCATTTCCAAAGCCACACAGTCTCTCAGGAATGGAAATCTCCTCAAGGCAGGTGTCTGAGATGTCAGTGTCCACATGTTTTCAGAACATCCAGTGCGTGATCCAGCAATGGAATGGAGTCACCCTGTTACGGCACGACCAGTTCCTGCAGGTGCTTTTTGAATTCCCCACACCTGCCGTGGCTGGTGGATCTGGCCATCAAAGTAAACTCCATGCCTTACACTGACCCACAGGTGGCCAATCAAAAGTCCCCAGGTCATTATCCCTGTCATGCTTAGAGCAGCCAACTCAGCCCGACACACCACCATGGGACTGCGCATCCGTCTGAGACTCCCTGTTCAGAAAGTCTTGCTGTCGTGCCAAACCCTTCAGCCTATAACGTCACGCAACACTTCGTCCACAAACACTGTGCGCATGTGCTGCACTTGGATTAGTAAGATTTGATAAATGATCTCATTTTAATAATGGCTGCCTACCCATTTTCAAGGACATTTAATAAATTCAAGGATCCTAGCTGAGGCGAAACAACTTTTTATTCTGGTGGTCTGGCTGACATCTGGCAGGATATATATCATCTGTCGTCCTCTCCCACTAAATGCTCCTCCCTGGCACATATGCACACATATTTTCAAACACCCCCTGGGTAGGTGGCAGTACTGTCCTGGTCAAGAACCACGACATTACACACAGTACTGCTCGCCATTTTTCTGTAGGCTCATGGTGCAGTCAGTGAACCCGTCAGTAACAGCAGATCCCAGATGGCCCTGCCAGCTACCATATTCCAGCCATAGTTTCCTCTACGGTTGACTCTTCTGGTTTCCACAAAATTTGTGGACCTCTCAAGTCATTTACTGTTAAAAAACAGTGACTGGAGCTCCATCTTTAAGAACATAAAGAACATCACATGGGAAAGAGTGATTTTTTGCCTTTCACCTCTCCTGAGAATCAGGCAAGAGAACATACATGTGTAGTTCAGCAAGAGGAGCTTGGACTTTATGTACGGCAGAAATAATACCTTGACAATGTGAATGAGAGCAGGTTCCAGACAGAGGCTGTGAGCTAGAGCTATGGGAGGACCTTTCCCTTGGCAAGGTAGCTGAGAAACAGCTCTGTGACTAAGGGTAGCTGTGCACCTGCTTCTTTCCGTGGCGGGGCCCAAGCCTTTGCTCTGCCAGATAGTCACAACCCTGTGTCTGCTTCAACCCCACCCATCCACATGAGACCCTAAACCAGCCTCCTCTCCAGCCGTGCTAGCTCTCAACTCCTAGTCTTTCTTCATGTTTCATTCACCCCTGGTGAAACTATATAAATCGTTACAAATCCTAAGAAACTCTACTCTTGGGAAGACCCCTTTTGTGCCTAGTGTCCCACCATCTCTGATTTAATTTCTCAATCCCGTTGTTGGTGCCTCTACTATACCATTTATGTCTACCTGAATATTTGTGTATGTTTTTCATAGTCTCCTGTTCCCAAATTATAAACTCATAAGAGCAACAATATCATTTATCCATTTCCCTGCCACATCTAATACAGAACTCTGCCTAGATTAGATGCTCAATCAATGTTTGTTGCATGAATGAACTGATGGATAAATGGGTAAATATTTGGGCTACTGAACACACATGACTCCATATCAAAATAAACAGAATTTTTAAGAGAGGACTAATTTACATTTGAACGTAAAAGTTAGAGATGATTAAAAGTTCAGAAACTTCAGAAAAAAATAAATATTTTCTTACCTAGAACTGACATGCCTAAGAATGCATCTGATTATCCTGACCTACACATCCACGATTAATGAATGGCTGGCTGGTTGTCATGGCCCCTCACTTAAGAGATGATGAGAACCAAAGCTATACGGCAAATTTTATTCCACTGGTGATGTGGTTCTCTAGAATCTCAGCTCAAAGCCACCTTTCTATTATTTTGAAATGAAGACAGTTACAATGGAAGATAAGGTGCCATTTTAGTTTCTGCTGACTCCCAGAGGCAGTTCTCAGTAATTCACCTTTTCTGTTCCATTTATTTAATAAATTTACTAGGTCATAATAGTGAAACATAGCCCTTGCAAGCACTCTGCAAGGCAGATTTATCAGGATAGATTACCACTACTGAGGTTTCTCAGATGGTGAGATAAGTGAATAAGCAAAAACTCACAATCCTTGGATAAGGTTGAAATAAGGAATTTTTTTTTTATTGGCTACTAAATGTCCTAGCAAATTTGTGACATAAGCATAGACAGAAAATGGAAACAAATACCTTACTGGGAATGTTTCCTTGCTTGCACTAACCTTGACTACAGCAATAATGCATTGCTTAACAGTCAAAGTGCACGAGGTCATCTCCACAAATGGCAGGATAAGTGAGTGTGCCGTTCCCAAGGAAGCAAAACAGATGCAAACAGGTCCCACGCACCAAGCGTCCTGGCTGAGTACGGATGAGGCTGCTATAGCTGCAATATCCTTTTCCCAGGCAAAGAAAGCCAGCTGTGACCCTCTGCTTTCCAGGGGTCCCCACCCACCCCTCTATCTCATCAGGCGTGTACCACCAGTAATGTTTTCTTCCAGCATCCACTTCGCTTCCTACTGTTACAGCATCTCATTCTGTCCTTTGACAGCCATTACAAGTAAGATCAGAACTATGTCCGAACAAGTGCATTCAAATAGGTCCTTACTGAAAAAGTCAGAGAGATCTCAGACATGGTGATGTTTTTGTCTTCTCAGGAGGAATTTGTATAACCCATGTCTCAACCTACATGATATAATCAAGGAAGGGCCCCCCCAAATTTAAATCACTCATTGGCAGAGTCTTGTCAAGAAACTTCTTCCCATCTGCACAATGAATGGCCGGATTTGAAGGAAGCCAGTTTAATAGCTAAAATAATAGTATTTATAATATAAGAGAGAAAAACATCCTTTGATATGTTTTGTTGGAAGCGTGCCATTGTGATGTGTAGAAAGCTTTAGAAGATGTGAGAGAAGGTGATACAGGGATGCTGGGGAGGAGATGGGGGAGGTTGGGCAGTCGGGTGGTTGCTGGGAGTAAGGTGGGCTATCAGGAGTTCTAAAACCTTCCCTCATTGGAGACCTGACCTAGGAGAAGAGCTAAGTCCTCCTCCATGCTGAGGAGTGTCTTCTTCTGCCCTCCCAGGGGTACCTGTGGCTCAGGCTCAGTTTAATTCTGGCACTGCTCTCTTTCATTGTCTCAGAAGCTTTTCTCACATGGCACCAACAGATGCTGTGATTAACAGTTTCCTAGCCCACTTACTCTTTCTCAAAAGGGGAGGGTCCTTTGTGTGATAAAATATAGTTATGAAATGATAGTGCAGCTTTAACAGACCATTAAAGACCCTGTTGCATTTGGAGGAACTGGACAAAACCAAAACAAAACAGATTTTTTTCCTACCCACCCCCTGCCCCCAAAAAGCAAAATATCTTTTGTTTTTCTCCAAAGTCATAAGAGGCATAAACAGGTAGCAAGAAGGCATCGGTGAAGCATGTCCCGCTGAGCGCTCTTTGGCCCTGGTGAGTGATCTTTCCTCCATTCAGGTGATGACAGTAGGTCCCCTGCGGCCAGTTCTCTCATGAATCTGGGATATTTTCAGCGCGATGGCTATGAGAGGGCTCAGCACTGCCTGGAAAGGGAGAGAGAAAGTGTGTGAACACCTCAGTTGGGTCACAGGATGGGGCCTTGTGATGGATTTCTATTGCCTGCATCTGGATTCAAGTTCCAATTTGCTGCTTACAGACAGAGTCATCACGGGCAGGACGTCTGTCCTCTCTCAACCTCTTTCCTCCTTCATCAAAGGAGATTGGAATGGGCAGTGCAGGGGAGTAGGGGGAGAAGATGATCTCCAAAGTCTTAGCCAGCTCCAAAAGAAATTTATCTAAAATAGGAAAATGCACAACCCAACTACCAGAACATTCAAGCATTTTATGAAAAGAGCACTGTGAATTAATAAGTTCAGAAAACCCCCAGTCTTCCTCTGCTGTACCCTTGTCCCCAATTACAGCCCCCCCACACATATATGCAACTTGAGGATCAAAGCTCATTCTCCATCCTAAGACCATGGGTCTAAAGAACATATAAACACAGCTAGAGAGAAGAAATAGTTCTAATGTTTGAGAGCAGACTAGGGGACTACATTTAGCAACATTATTATGTGAATTTCAAAGTAACTAGAAGGGAGGACTTGAAATGATGCCAACAGACAAAAATGATAAACGCTCAAGATGATGGATACCCCAAATACCCTGACTTGATCATTTCACATTTTATGCATGGAACAAACACATGTAGCCCATAAATATGTAAATTATTATGTACCGTAAAAGAGAAAAAAAGAACTCCAATCCTGATGCTTCTGAGATGACAGGCCAATCCATTGGCTAGTGTTGCAGAAATAACAGATTGTTTCTCACCATCACATTATGCTGTGGCCCATGAGGCACCTCAGTGGTCCTTAGAAACAGGTGGGGGTACTTCAGAAGCCGATTCTTGGAAAGGTGATGGATGTGAAGAGGAGAAGAATTGCTTCTTGCTTACTGTTTCATAGGAGTGAGACATTGTTTTCCAGAGTGTGGAGCATGCACCAGTCACTATGATTTTAGATGGTGCGTGAACATGGTATTACTTACAAAACAGTGACAAAGTCAGTCTATTTCCCATCTTCTTCAAGCCTTCTGATTTCACGAAGGAGAAATTCTACTTGCTGCCAATCTTTAACACACTTTACCCAAGAGAGCGCATGTCTCAGTCAAGAGTTACTTAGCTAGAAGGTAAAGTCGCTGCATGTTTTTATTGGATTCACATCTCTGGTGCATTATGTTAAGCTCCCATTTTTATGGGTAATAAAATACGTTTTTTCTTCCGAGTGTATAAATACAGCCATGCATCACTTAGCGATGGGGATACTTTCTGAGAAATGTGTCATTAGGCAATTTCATTGTTGTGAGAACATCATGGAGTGTACTTACACAAACCTAGATGACATTTGTATATTTTTTGGTGAGGAGGAGGGAGGACAGGGTCTTACTCTGTCATGCAGACTTGAATGCAGTGGTGTGATCATAGCTCACTACAGCCTTGAATTCTTGGGCTTAAGTGATCCTCCCACTTCAGCCTCCCAAGTAGCTAGGACTACAGACATGTGCCATCACACCTGGTTAATTTTTCTTATTTTTTGTAAAGATGGGAGTCTCTCTTTGTTGTCTGGGCTGGTCTCAAACTCCTGGCCTCAGGTGATCCTATTGCTTTGGCCTCCCAAAGTGCTGGGATTATAGGTGTAAGCCACCACAACCAGCCAACATATTTTTATTAATATATATTTTTTCATATGGAAAACCAAATGTTCCAGCAATATTACTGAATATCAATCATTTCCTGTACTTGATTTGCGATGCCAATATCAAGTGCCATATATCAGGTTTCTATATAAGCGCCATCATAATCTTATAGGACCACTATCAAATATGTGGTCCTGTTGTTGATCGAAACATCATTATGTGGCTCATGCCTGGTCACACCTTGAGGGCAGGAACTTTGTCGTCTTCAAGGCTGAGAAAAGTGCTTCCCGCATAGGAAGCATTCAATAAATATTTTTGGAATAAATGAATGATATATCAGTTTGATGGAAAGATGAGATAGATAGAGACTTCTACAGACATTCATGAAGGGCATCCTGGTCATACGGAAGGGGCAGCAGTGCTGGATTTTTACCGTCATGTTTTTCTTGAACTTGAGCTGTAAGCACAGAGTTTGAAAAGCAGAGAGGAATGTGGGATGATCTAGTTTCATGCCACAGACAAGGACACTGAAGCCCAGGGGGAGACGTGATTGACCTAGGGTCACACATCTGCTTAGTGGCTGAGCTGGGATAAGAACATAAGGTTGCCTCCTGTACTGCTCTTCCCATAATACAATTCTGAATATAAGACCTGTGAGTGACAAGGACAAATAGAGAAGACAAATGGGCCTAGGGGTTAGGGAAGAAATCATGGGATGGTCATCCCACTGGACCAGACAAGTCCTGCATCAGATGAGGGGTTGCATAGGACTGATCAGCCATCCTTATCGATCAAAACCACGTGGACAGTGGGGAGAAGAGGTGTTCCCAGCTATGTGGGTTACGTGACTGTATTGGAAGCTCTAAATGACTCCTTATGAATAAAGCAAATAAATAATAGAGACTTCAATCGTTTATGTTAGGAATATAGCATCTTTTTTCTAATTCCCGTGCTTCTTAGAGAGCTTGGAATAGTTTTTCTACAGTCAAGAGGAGGAAATAGTGAATGCTTATCTTGCTCCAAACCAAGTGGACAGTGTATCCATTCAGTGACAGTCACCATGTGGCTCCAGTGTCTTTCTTCACCTTGCAGGGCTTGGTGGATGCTTGCTGTCCACCAATGTGAACAAGCTACAGAGGGAATCAAATCCTGTCTCTAGTTCAAATTTTGAAACTTTATTTATCATGGATTTTTTTGCATTGATTTTGATTTTTGAAAATATTACATTAAAACATTTTTCTTCATTACTCAGTATTTTGGTACTCTCTTTTAAATTTTGAACCCAGCTCACCCTAATCCTGGTCCTCTATTAGTTTTTAGCATGCTCATACACCCTGGAAAGACAAAGAGAGTTTCTCCTTTTACTCTCTTTCCCACCTTCTCTCTTGCTTTTTGTCATTGTAATCCACATTCATATAGATTAGGTCCACTAAAAAACAAACAAACAAACAAAAAAACTAACAAACTGGACTTCTTACCCTGGCTGTCAATAGACAGGAAAGATGTAAATGACCTGAATGTCACCAGACTCAAAGTAAATAGTTAACTAATTTTTTGGAAGAAAACAAAATCGTAACCAGAAATATAATCACTTATTAAGCAAGATTTCTCAAAATTTGTGGAGGGAACCCAGCACTAGTCAGGTCTCTATAAGGACTGTGCATTCACAGGGTCAGGGAAGGAGTGGGGTGGGAGATGGGGGTGGGGGCTAGAGAGTGAACAGGTAGGGGTGACAGTACTTATCACAGCTCATCTTTTGGGGCAGCCAATACAACCCAGAGAAATCAGATCATCCAACAGCAGAAAACACTGAAATTCTGCATCCATAAAATAGGCATTTATAAAAAATGCCACCCTCTCTTCATCCCTACGATCAACTAACATCCACATTCCCACTTTGTTTAAAACCTACTGAACCTGGAATGCCAGACTCTCTCTTCCAATTTCATTCAAACATTTGTTTTTAGTCAATGTACCGTTTTGCTTAGTCTAAGGCAGTGGTTCTCAAATTCGAACATGCACCAGAATCACCAGGAAGGTGGTTGAAATGCAGATGGCTGGGCTCTTCCTCTTGTGTTTCTGATTCAAGAAGTCTGGGTTAGGGCCCAAGAACTGGCATTTCTAACAAGTTCCCAGGATGCTGTTGCTCCAAGGACCACCCTTTGAGAACCAAGGCTCTAAGGTAAGCTGTGCTTTGCTCCAGCTATAGGCTAGGTGGCCTCTTTTGTGTCACATGATCCCACCTTTGTATCACATGATCCCACCCCCTGGCTGTAGCTGATTGGACCAGGAGTCACTCTCAGACCTATAGGCAGCCAATCTGCAGCCTACCCATCATATAGGCTGGGGCAAAACTTCGCCTCCCGATTAGATTTTTTCCCTCAGGGATTTGAACTGATAAGTAAAGAAAAAACAGGCCATTAGCAGTGAGAACTAACCCATAATGCATAATTAACTTTGAAGGCATAATACTCATGGTAATCTAGGGTTATGAGAAAACAGAGACTCTGAAAAAGATAAGAAAAGCAGAATGAAACCAGGAGAAGAATTAAAGAGAGCAGAAAGAAATAATAAAAGAGTTGGTGGAGAGAAAAGAATGGCATGGATCCCAATAATCTCTAAATTAAAGATCCACTAATTCCTGCTAGGAGGGCCTGAGTTGGTGGTAACTTTGCTACTTCAGGTCTAGTCTCTGAGGCTTGGCCCTAAGACAGACTCCACTCTTAGATTTCTTGACTGACCTTGGTCCTTTTGGGTATTAAAGTAAATTAAAATTTTAAAACAAATTAAAGTTAAATCACATTAATAAGATAAACACCCAAAGTATGTTTTTCTTGGATCATTTCAAGGAACCATCATTGTCCAGCTTTCTACTACTAATGAAAAAGAACTTTTTTTCCTTATAAAACTAAGCCTGTTGCCAACCAAAACGAACTTTCTCACCATGCCAGTTCATGGTGCCAACTTCCCCTTCCTGCTAGAGCAGGTCCCACCAAGCTCGCCATCAGATAGGATGGAGGTGCTCTTTGTGAGTCTTTCTCCCTTTCCCGCACTTCCACGTGGTTGCCAAACTCTCTGACTGCATCCCTCAATGGCTCCGCACCCACTCTCTCCTTCTCATCCCCACTCTTTCTTCCTTAACACAGTCCCCCACTGTCCCTGGCTTGTAGGACTCTGCTATCTGTCCTCAGCCGCACCAGAGTGGGCTTCTTTTTGAAAGAGACTTGTTCACGTGATCCCCTGATGTAAAAGTCTTGGGTGGCTTCTCCAAGGTTACGGTTAGCCACCCTCAGCCTGGCTGTCAGGCTAAGACATTTGGGTTTTACCCTCTATGGTAGGCAGAATAATG